TTTCTGTGTGTGTTACATTTTAATATTGTGTTTCCGTTGTGTCGTAGTTCCCCTCTTATATTTGATGCGTTTCCCTCAGTTTTAGTTTGTAACCCGAATTTGTTTTTTTCTCAATCGATTTATGAATTTCAAACAGCGGTATACTACTGTTGTATTTATTCATCTGGGCAAGGTCTATCATCTGTAGAATTTGAAGAAATATAGGACAAACTATTTAAAAGTTTCCCTCAAATGTCAAATTTTAGTTGATATCAAATTAATGCCTGATATATCAAAATCTATAGCAGTTAGAGCAGATCTGACAATGGTAGGATTAATCAACAGGTCAATGTTGTTGGCCTGATGAGTGTTAGGTATTGGATAACTCATTCTGGCCTTTTATTTTATTAATATTTCACAGTTTTTGATGATAGGTTTATAAACTACAACAGATGGATAGAAATTTAAAGCAGGAAAAATAATCAAATCAATAAGATCTACAGATAAGTCAAATTGGCATAAACGTTAAATGACCCCATATAGAGTTATTGGCTGTATATGATGAAATTTAGACATATGTTTTTTCCTAACCTATGTCTATTGACCGTGACCTCATTTTAATAGTTGGGCGACTGCTTGATAAAGAGTTTTATCATTGTGTCAAATTGCCATTATCATGAATAACAAGATTACTACATTTTGTATAATGGTTCCTTGTAAGGTCTAAATGTCTGTCAGACGGAGTTCACCTGACCTCGATCTAATTTCTTATATCAAGATATCAAGGTTAAAGCTCTCAGAGACTGGAAGCAGTAGTTTAAATACTTTGGAATATAGGATGATGTAAGTTGTAAATAGCTGTCGGTTATGTTTCAGCCGATCCTGACGGTTCATTGGTCAGTACTGTGACTTTGAGATTTGTTCTGATTTTCTAATACAATAAGTAAAAGAGGGAGGAAAGATACCAGAGGGACAGTCAAACTCATAAATCGAAAATAAACGCCATGGCTAAAAATTAAAAAGACAAACAATAGTACACATGACACAACATAGAAAACTAAAGAATAAGCAAAACGAGCCCCACCAAAAACTAGGGTAGATCTCAGGTGCTCCGGAAGGGTAAGCAGATCCTGCTCCACATGTGGCACCCGTCGTGTTGCTCATGTTATAACAAATCCGGTAAATAGACTAATTCGGTAGGTCACTGATAATAGTTTATCTATATGCGGTACATAGGATGATAGTAAGGTGTTCATGTCTTTCTTGCTTGTTTTTTTAAGCCTTGAATGATTGTCATAGACCGTTGGACATGTATGTGATACATTAAGAAAGTCTTTATCTTTGAGACCAATATAAAATCAATTGAAGCAAAGTAGGTGAGACCTTTCATTGACGTCATAATGAATGAACCAACGTTGATAAATTTGACGCGAAGTTAACTAGTCATCTTTCAGTTTACTGTGAAAAACTGAAAGCATTTCCTTTATTACTCGAGTATATGGTTAACAACATATATATTTCAATTTTTGTCGCTTGACGGAGTCAAAACGCGAGACAGAGGTATGCTGTTTCCGTTGGCGGCGGCAATGTATTAGTTTGTGATTAGGTCTAGTTTATTGTGAACCACTAGTGGTAAATCAAAGATATTTAGTATGCAGTTTTATCAGTATTGGTTCATCTCATTACCATGGACATTATTTGGCCCCTCCCCCTCAGTTATGGTCTATTATTGACTATAAAACTTTTTCTAATTTTTCGTGTATTAGTTTGTGATTAGGTCAGTTAATCATGAACCAATAGTGGTAAATTAATGATAATTGGTATGCAGTTGAACAAGCATTGGCATATCTCATTTCCATGGAGATTATTTCACCCCGCACTCTCAGTTATAGTTTATTGACTTTGATATTAGTTTTACTTTACATGTAGTAGTTTGTGTTTAGGTTTTTTTATAGGGAACTAACTATGATAAATCAATGGTATTTGATATGCGTTGTATTAGCATTGGCACATCTCATTTCCATGTTTAGCCATGTACCTTCAGTCATGGTTCATTGACTTACTTGCAAATCTCACTCTCAAGGATGTATGCAATTCAGGGTCTCTTGTTCAGCAGCGCCAGTGGTACAATGTATCCATGCACCCTGAACAAGAGTAACTTTGAAAAGAATTACCAATTTCTAGGCCATTGCTTTCATTGTTAGTTCCACGTTCAATTGATATTGCATTAAAGGTTTCTCAAATGCGAAAACTAATGCAGGTTGAACATTTTTCATTGTTAAAAAATAAAATTAAGGTAAATTAACTATATACCGCCATCTTGGATTGTGAAAAATCACTACACAATAGATCTTACAGACGGACATGTTTTTCCCCTACCTTGTCTACCTATAAGGGTATTGGACGGTCGATAATCGGTCATGTTCTTTGCTTGTTTTGAGACGGATTGGCAATTATTGTGTAAGACTGTCTATCCAAACAATGAACAATATGTGGTTTAGTATATCATTATGAAACTTTGAACATATATAAATATACTTATATCATTTATTCGTATATTTTAACTTATTTGATTCGTTCATGAAAAGTCACATGTAAAACTATATTTTAGAAGGTAGAAATAAAACAGCGGATAGCAAAAGTGATATATTACGGTTATTTTTAGAATTACTAAAAACTTTGGGATGTCATCTAATAGATTTCATGATATTGTTTACAGTTTTTAAAAAGTGTATGATCGATTATTTAATAAAATAAAATCTTCAAATACATAAGATATACACAAAATACATAAAAATAAATGAAATAACAACTATTATAATTTTGCTTGATAAAATTTAATTTTTCACTGGTGATTTTCAAATATGGTAGTGAATTTATAGTGTAACAATTATAGCCTTACCTTTGTGTGATGTCAATACAGGATATTTCGACCGAAAGAAGTATATCGACCTCGTATTAAGTCCTCAGTCAATATACTTATTTCAGGTAAATATATCCTTGTATCGACTTCGTACAAATGCTATATTTGTATAGTTTATATATAAAGCACTTATTTGTATTCGATTCAGTTTCCTAATTTAGCCATATGAGGGAAGATAACCTTTTTTTTAGCTCATCTGGCCCAAAGGGACAAGTGAGCTTTTCTCATCACTTGGCGTCCGTCGTCCGTCGTCGTCCGACTTCCGTCGTTTACTTTGACAAAAAACTTCTTCTCTGAAACTACTATGCCAAATTTAACTAAACTTGGCCACAATCATCATTGTGGTATCTAGTTTACAAAATGTGTCCGATGAACCCGCCAGCCAACCAAGTTGGCCGCCATGGCTAAATATAGAACATAGGGGTAAAATGTCGATTTTGGCTAATATCTCTGAAACCAAAGCATTATTTTTATATTTATAAATAGCATTTAGAGCAAATCTGACATGGAATAAAAATGTTTTTCAGGTCATGATTTATCTGTCCTGATATTTTCAGACAAATCAGAAAACCAGTTGTTGGGTTGCTCCACCTGAGTTGGTACTTTTAGGAAATTTTGCAGATTTGGTTATTATCTTGAAAATAATTAAAGATAGAGATAAACTGTAAACAGCAATAATGTTCAGCAAAGTAAGATCTACAAAAATGGTCAATAACCTCTTAAGGAGTTAATGTCCTTTATAGTAAATTTTTTACAATTTTTTGTAAATTTTTGTAATCTTACAAAAATCTTCTCCCCTGAAACTACTAATACAAATTTAACCAAACTTAGTCACAATCATTATAAGGGTATCTAGTTTTAAAAATGTGTCTGATAACCCTGCCTGCCAACTAACATGGCCGACATGGCTAAAAATAGAACATAGGGGAAAGAAGCAGTTTTGGGCTTATATGTATGACACTTAAGCATTTAGAGCAAATTTGACAAGGCTAAAATTGTTCATCAGGTTAAGATCTATTTGTCCTGAAATTTTCAGACGAATCATACAAGCCGTTGTTGGGTTGATGCCCATGATAAGTAATTTTAAGAAAATTTTGCAGATTTTGGTTATTATCTTGAATATTATTATAGATAGAGATAAACTGTCAAAGCAATAATGTTCAGCAAAGTAAGATTTACAAATAAGGCAACATGACCAAAATGGTCAATTGACCCCATAAGGAGTAATTGCGTTTAAAAGTCAAATTCTGTCTGGTTTGAAAAATGTTTCCGATGACCCTGCCTGCCAACTAGCATGGCAGACATGGCTAAAATTAGAACATAGGGGGAAAATGATATTTTTGACTTATATTTCTGAAACTAAAACAAAAGTTTAACGGTGGCATTATTTCATGCATCAATATTGTAAATAAAAATATCAGGTCAGCGACACATGCTCCTTGGAGCCTTTAGTTAATAAATATTATAAAAAATGTTACATAAAGCAAATATTTGTTTTGCTCGATTCAAATTTTCAACATAGCCATATAAGGGAAGATAAGTTTTTTTAGAACAAATATGATTTGTAACATAAAGCACATATTTGTTTTTGCTCTATTCAGATGTAACATATCCATATAAGGGAAGATAACTATTTTAAATTGCAAATGTTTGTTAAAAAATATCTTTTTTTTTTGTTACAAAAACAAGTTTTGTGACACCAATTTTTTTTTCTGTTTAAAAGCATATCTTAAAACTTATCTTTTGATAGTTTATTTGAAAAAAATAATCTCATCGATTTCTTTTTATTTACTAAAAAAACAAAAAAAAAAAAATCCCGCTATTAATAGCCTATGCAAGTTTGGGCAATGTTTGAAAGAAATGTAGCTTGAAAAATAGCATGTGTACCCTTATTATCTATTTTTTTTTAAAGTAATTTAAAAATACATTTTGGCAAACTATTAGAAAGTTTTGTTTTAAGAAATATATAGTGATAACCCGCCATAACAAAGACAAGATATCATATAATTTGATATAATTTGACCTGCTTTGAAAATTGATTTTTCATATGACTATCTAGGTGAAATAATTTGAGGGGCATATAAAGGTTACATTTGTAATGTCTTACTTTTTCACAGAGACAGATGTAGGAGTTGCATGTGATCCCTCGAGCTCTCAGACAGGGGAATGCAATGATCCTCAGTCATCTTGTGTACAAGCTGATGATGGACATAAGTGCCTTTGCAATGTTGGATATTACGATTACAGTGGAACATGTACAATAAGTAAGTTCAACATATTAGCAATTAGACTTGTAGACTGTAAAATATGATTGTGTTATTGTAATTAAGAATTGAATGCTTCTTTTTGTAACTTCATTGGGGTGTAAAAGCGTTGACCGAAGTACATTTTGTATGAAGCGCGGAAGCATTCAATACTTATAATTACATTTTTTAGCTAGGATTGTGAAAACACGATTTTTATCAAGTTTTTATTTAATTTACCTGTGCACTTAATTGTGGGACCTCGTGTCATCATGAATGGTAAATTTTATTGTGTAATGAAGTTGATTAAGGCATAACGCGAGATTGCAGTGTAGCCAATCAGAATAACGTATTATAATGAAACATGCATCTAACCTAATGTAATTATTTATATATGCATGCTATTTTTTGTTAACAATAACGTAAATATTTTTTCACAGTAGTTTTTCGAACCATTCAATATTCTTCAGCTTCTTTTTTTAATTTGTTGTAAGTTTGTATATAAGGGAATTTGCAAGTTTAATACATTATTCTTCATTATATTTATCATTGTCTTATTTTTCTACTTGCATAATTACACGGATTAGAGTTTTCCTTGATTTAGACAAGTTGTATATATTAATCTAGTTTAATAGCCCAAACAATGTACAACCAAAGATCAATTTATTTTTTCTTTTTAGCTTGTGAATTTAATTTTTATGATAAAATTTTGTCACCACACATAAATTTTTCATATTTTTGTTTTCAAACATGTTATAACTTTTAAAATTTTACTTTGCAATATATACACATTGAATAAATCTGCGTAAAAATGCTTTATTAAGCAGTTAAACGTATCAGATATTGATTTTTTTCTATGAAAGGATGACATAAACAGAAAAAGAATGAAAGCAACACTTTATAGATTTTAGATGTTGTAGACTGCACATTCTGTTAACGTAGCAATAGTGTCAAATAACCCCCCCTCCCCCCCAAAAAAAAATCACGTAATCTAAAATTGAAAGCTTAATAGAAAAATCAAATATATTCTACTAAGAACGAAAAATAAAGACACTATCTACCTCATTATTCTGCAGATTAGTAAGCATGGCAAATAGTCTTCAGATACGAGAATATGGTGCATATTCGGAACCTATTGGTGCCAATAGCCAACAAATAAAGTAACACCTATGCTTTTCCAGACTGATTTATAAGAATTCATGTCGAAAAATTACTGTTTCTTCTTTTTTCCTAGCAATTCAAAGCCAACGATAACCAAAATTGTCAGGAATTTAATGTAGGGAATGCTATTCCGTCATTTTGTTTCCACTATTTGAAAACTTGATATGATGTAAAGAGTAATACATAAGTGAACCTTTCCTTCAAACTGGTCTTCAAACTGCTAGGCCGATATTTGAGTTAATGGTATTTAAGGACTGTTGATATACTTCTTTAGTATTTTTCACAAACTTGATATTGCTAAAGTTTATATGGAAATATTTTTGAATTGAATTACATATTAAAGAAAAAAATCGTGTCAATTTGCAAATTATTTTGCGGAGATACAAGGTGAATGATAAAGGCTTTTTACGACATTCATGTTATGGTTATTATAAAATTTGATAATTTTGATATTCAGAGGTGGAGTTGGAAAATTCATGTACTGCAAACAGACCTGATAATCAGTGTATAGATCAGAATGCCGAATGTAAAGACAGTAATGGTCTAACGTGTCTCTGTAAAGATTCATTTTACAAGGATTCAAATGGAGTATGTAATAAAAGTAAGTAATTTGTATACTACCATCTATACAACCATAATGATTTTAATACAACATTTTTGAAAGAACTACTAGGTAATATTGAGCTGGTCATTTAAAATTAAATGCATGTGAAGTGGTTTGATAGAAAATGAGTCATATACATCTGCAATATGATATAGGACAAGAACGTGAACAACTACTGTTTCTGTCTCCCCCCATCAATAATGAACAAAATTGATAGTGTATAGTAGGTTACAAAATGCCCTTTAAATGACAAAATGAGAAACAATCCAAAAGACAAAACATCCACCCAGATTAAAACAAAAACAATACGCCACAACAGTAATTGCTGACAACTACAGACAACCACTGGAAAATGAAAGAGACTCAGAACAGTCATATAAACATAATCAAGAATGTGGTGATGCTAAACATTTTTTTTGTACATACTTGACAGAAGCAATTTTAATCTTTAGTATAGGTAATCCAATTAGTATCTACATGTATAGTAGAGATTTTTTGAAATTATTTGATTCAAAACAAGGCTGAAGAGGAACCATTTCTTTGTAAAAAACCTTTATATATGTTAGTATATACGAAAAAAGTAAAATCACAAAAATACTGAACTCCGAGGAATATTCAATCGGAAAGTCCCTAATCACATGGCAAAATTAAATGACAAAACACATCAAACGAATGGACAAAAACTGTCATATTCCTGACTTGGTACAGGCATTTTCAAATGTAGAAAATGGTGGATTGAACCTGGTTTTATAGCGCTAAACCTCTCACTTGTACGACAATCTCATCAAATTCCGTTATATTTACAACGATGCGTGAAATTGATTTCAATTAAGGAGTTAGATATGTTTTTGATACTTATGATTTCTTTTCAGAGATAGACCTGAATGCCACTTGTAGTGCTGGTCAGCCATCAGATCAATGTTTAGACTCGAAGTCGGAATGTACTTCATCTTTGAGATGTTATTGTCAGAACGGATATTTTGAAAACAGTGGAAATGTTTGTACTAAAAGTAAGTTTAACGGACATGATTTTGGTAAAATACTTGATCAAACAGGTAAAATTAAGAACAAGACTTTATTTTGCATCACCAACTTAAATCCATATATATCTAAAAAGTCTATTATATGTGCTTAACCAAATATATGATTTTATGCAATACTTACGATAATTGGTTTCATTATGTTTTCCAGTGTGAGTCTGTGCATTAATCTGTTCGTTATGCTGTTCGTCAATGTATCAGGTTAATGTTTTGTGTAAAGATAGTTTTTTTGTCACATCAGTTTAAAACTGTGTACACATTTTTACTATGAGGGGAATTATTCAATGCTTAATAAATACGGGCTTTGACCAATGCTTCATGGTTCACCAGGCATGACAATATAAAATTTTTAATTTTCGGTATAGGTATTTTGAGTAATATAATCTATAAATTTAGTTCATTTGTTGTTTCTAAAGTAATCTGTTCGATATTTAAGCCAAATTAGGGTTATGACTAAGATTCTATTGTGTCAGCATGGCATGGTGTTCATATGGAAACAAAGTCTTGTTTATAGATGACGTACTAATTGTGCTGGAGTTTTATTTTGTTTTGTTGGCATATCGATTTTATTAAGTCTATTGTGTCTTATTATTATGTAAAATATGTAGAATTTGATATACGTTTCGTATTTGGTCAAGATAGTGTATCATCTTTCCAAGAACCTCTGTTTTTTTATGTTTTATTGTGCACTGTACTTCATCATTGAAATATTATTATATATCAATAGTATTATGTTTGTAATTGCATGTGCCCTCACATATATAATTTGTGCCATGTGTTGTTGTGAGGGATATGCATTACCGTGCCACGTCCGGTTTGTGTTTTTTACCCCCCCTGCTATGCGAAAGGGTATAAAATGTTACTCTTGACCATCCTTCCTTTCTGTCCGTCCATCTTTCAGCCAGTCCTTTCGTCTGTAATTTTGTCCGTTCGTCCCAAATAAGGCCTTTTCAATTGAATTCAATAGTTTTTATATGATGTATGACCATTGTCTAAGGTACATGTAAGGAGAAGTGTGTGTGCGCTGACATATATGTTAAACGCCGCCACATTATTGATATGCCTGTTACAAGTAAGGGGTCTGTAGTTCAGTGGTTGTCATTGGTTCATGTCTGTCATATTTTTTATTCGCAGATTTTTTTGTTATAAATTAGTTCGTCATATCACATCAATAATTTTATATACTGGAACAAACTATAGAAGGGTGTTAAAAAAGTTGCGAAGTTTTGAGCTTAAATGATTGATTCTCAGCTTTTGCATTGTTCTTAATCATTTTATTAGAAAAAAGCTTCAGAATCACTGTTAATTTAGTGGTGACTTTTCAGCACGTGTTTCAGTTCTGTCTTTAAAAAAAGATTTGTAACACCGGGTATATCATTGCCAATTTCTATAAGATTACACCGGGCAAAAACCAACTTCAAATGGGCAAACACAGAACCCCAAACTACTATGTGACTATCAGTTGTCTAATTTGCAACAACTTTATCATGGTCACATCCTATAATTTCTAACATTGATTTGAATTTATATGATCGTTTATTAATTTCTATATACATATCCTTTTTCCAAATATGATTGACTTCTGAATTTAAAACAAAACGTTGCGGTTTTCCTATTTATTGTTTATATATGATTACAGAGGTTGTATTGAACGCTGTCTGTAACACAGGACAGTCAGACCACCAGTGTGTTGATGTTAACTCTGAATGCAAAATGGAAACTGGAACATCCAATACTGAATGTCTGTGTAAAAATGATTTCTATGCCAACACTGCAAATGTTTGTATAACAAGTAGGTATTAAGTATAAACTTTGAATCATAAATAAGTTTGATAAACTTTATTCTGTAGTAGAGTAATTTAGAACTGATCATTCGGAATACACTATATGTTAAATCCTACAATGAGTATATTATGTGTATACATATTTCGATGAATAGTTTCTTTTTTGTCTTGCCTGCAACATTGATCAAGATGGGGAAGTAATCTTTATGCTCTTGTTTTTGTTTGCGATTTTTGTTATAAAGTTACAAACGGTAGTCATGAATCTGTCTCAACAGTTGGTTATATTAAGAAAGAAAAACGTTATTTACAGAATTTACACAGTTATTTCTTCATTAAGTTTATACAGTTATTTTGTTAGAGATGAAGGTCATGCTGTCTATGATTTTGCCATATCTTAAATGAGCAAGGAACATACATTGTACTGCATCTGTAACAAAAAGTAAAATCACAAAAACACTGAACTCCGAGGAAAATTCAACACGGAAGGTCCCTTATCAAATGGAAAAATCAAAAGCACAAACACATCAAACGAACGGATAACAACTGTCATACTCCTGACTTGGTACAGGCACTGAAGTAGAAAATGGTGGATTAAACTGGTTTTATAGCTAGCTAAACCTCTCTCTTGTATGACAGTTGCACCAAATTCTATTATATTGAAAACGATGCGTGAACAAAACAAACAGACATAACAGGTAAAAATGTCAAACAAAGGGGTACAGCAGTCAACATTGTGTTATAATCTTAATCACTAAAAAAAAGCCAAACAAATATGTAACAAAGAAGCACAAAAAGGCATATAGACCCAGCACATTAGTAAAATTTACCATAGTACAGTAACACAATGACGGGATGTATAAGTACAGAGCCACATCATATATGTATCAAAGAAACTTAAAAAGGCATATAGACAAAGCACATATCAAAAACGACAGACAAGCATACAAACATGTTTAACAATAACGGGATGTATAAATACAGAGCCACGCTATATGTATCGAAGTAACACCAAAAGGCATACAGACAAAGCACATTAGCAGCAATGAAAGACAAGAATACGAGAATTATCATAAACATTTTCATAATGACAGGATGTACAAGTACCACAAGTATCTTAATCATAATAAAAACAAACAAATATTTAACAAAAAGGCATATATCAAACCCAACAACCTCATTCATTGCTTTCTTTTTTTTGAATTTTATTTATGTATGTTAAATCCACCCACAAACGACCGAAAGACCTTAAGCACAGGGACCGAATGGTTCGATAACATGCATTAACTCTGGCGTAGAATCGAACGTTTGACGTCAGAATGTAAACGTCACACAGGTAGATAAATAAAATGATTTTGTCGTTCAAAGTATGTAAAGAATGTAGTCTATATTTGCTTTAGGCATATCCTTTGCAGAATGTCAATTAGAAGTCTACATTTCCTTCTAGCCGCTTGTCTATATGCTTATTGTGTATTTCCTCTAAAAAAAGAGCCACGTCATTATGTATAAAAGAACCACAAAAGTGCCTATAGACAAAGCAGACCAGAATACAAAAATTGTAATAAAACAATAACACAATAGCACAATAGCAGGATGTTTAAGTACAGAGTCACGTCATATGTATCAAAGAAACACAAAAAGTCACACGGAGAAAGCAAAAATGAAAGATATTACAAACAACACAATGACGGAATGCATAAGTACAGAGCCACGTCAAACGGATAATACCAAAAACAGACCAAACAGTAATAGTAATATCAATGAAGACAAATAAAAGAACACTATAACACGTTATTAAGATGATAAATACACTCTCATATTTTTTTTCTCTAAATCGAATGCAAAACCATGACCATAGCTTTTGTTTCATAGAAAGTGCACTTGGGGAGGTCTGTAGCAATGGACAGCCAGTTAACCAATGTTCAATAGCAGATTCAGAATGCATATCAGAAGCAACAAATAGTTTAGTGTACAAATGTTTTTGTAAGGCATCCTTTTACAGAGATGTTCAGACATGCAAAGATTGTAAGTTTAGCCTAAACATATATGTTTTGATTTATGTTCAGTATAGAAATATGGAGTTGCTGTGTGATGTGGATGATACAACTATCTATTTACAACTGAATAACATGCTATCGATTTATGACTTTTGAACAGCGGTATACTACTGTTGCCATTTTGTTTTACTTCAGACCTGTACATAAATAATTGGTTAAATATGTGTATGACTTTACCTCACTGACATGGACAGGAGTGATATACAATGTAACTAAACTAAAAAGCAAGCTTTACAAATCGATTGGAAATAGCATGACACGTCAGATCAGTACTGAGCACAAACACAAGCAAAATTAGAAAATGACAGAGACACAAAGTTCTGATCTTCGAGTACTCATTGTTAAAGAAATCTTAATATGTATGTAAGGTTATAAAGACAGGAGAAGAAGTATACTTATCTACAAATTATTTTCATTTACCTGTGTTTAATTTATATATTACAAATGGCGTAGTTTTTTCTCAAATTGTTTAGCATTTCACAGCAGTATAATTCTTTTACTATAATTATTCATCCCTTATTTTTATTCACTTTGTATTTACATTGTATCATAGATCAAATTTATTCGTTCAGTGTATGTTCATTTGGTCACTACGTCAATTGTTTGCACCTGTCCTAAGTCAGGAATCTGATGTTCAGTTGTTGTTTTTGTTGATGTGGTTCATGAGTGTTTCTCGTTTCTCGTTTTTTTTATATAGATTAGACCGTTGGTTTTCCCTTTTGAATGGTTTTACACTAGTACTTTTTTGGGGCCCTTTATAGCTTGTTGTTCGGTGTGAGCCAAGGCTCCATGTTGAAGACCGTACCTTGACCTATAATGGTTTACTTTTATAAATTGTGACTTGGATGGAGAGTTGTCTCATTGGCACTCATACCACATCTTCCTACATCTAGGTAACGGGCTTTGGATTAGAAATACGGAAGTCGTTCTACTAGAGTTGTCTAATGTTATTCATCAATGCAATTCTCAAAACAAACAAAAACTATATAAATATGTATTCTCAAAGCATAAACAATGAAGAGATAATAATAATGATAATTCATTACATTTACAGCAATTATGACGAATTCAGTTAAGAGATTTATCTTGTTGAACTTAATTCAAATATAAAACTTATAAATACTAACAATGAAGAATAATATTTCCTAAATCTTGATATCTACATCACTCACGGGAAGCATAATGTTAAAATTTGCGATAAATAAAGGCAACAGTAGTTTACCGCTGTTCGTTGTTTTATTTACGTTACAACATCGTGTGTTTGAAATATAAACGATAAAAGAGATGTTGTCATTGGTCAAGTCAAACCTCCGACCTCAAATTAACTAAGTCAAGCCCCACCCAAGCACACCTACGTAAAAACTTAAACACGCGTACTATGAACGATCGAAAGTTGATTGATCACGAAAATGATTGTGTATTTGATTTTCCCCTGGCGGTCTAAATTATATACAAGTGCATGTGAAATTTATTTATATCATTAATGAGTGCAAAACTTCCCATAACATGCATAAAGTCCTTTTGTTATAAATTTGATTTTTAAAACAAAGACTCTTTGCAGTCTTCACGGCGAAATATATTGAATCCAACTGTATCCTGTGAAGAAGTTCTAGACTAGCCCCGTGCACCTTTTCTATATGTTACGTTACAACAGCGTGTGTTTGAAATGAGACCAAATTAGGAAATATAAATGACATGACTCGATGCTGGTGGATTGATTTTTACCCATTATTTGAAAATCAGGCGACTTCAGAGCAGTACACAAACATGTTAAAGTTCGTAGTAAAACATAGAACATTATATAGTCGGTCAACTGTGTCAATTTACGTTCACATTACGAATTTTGCTGTATTTGAAACTTTTGGCAAATGAAATGGGACGTTACAAGTTGTTTGTTTGTGATACATTTACGCCAGAATGTTATCAATGAATTACCAAACGCTAAACTTGACTGCATTTCAGTGTATATCAACTTCTTTTACGTAGTGTATATAACGAAAAATGTTGAATAGTTTTGATTTTAACGATATTGTTATGATATGACTGTGTACTATATGACTCCCAAAGGATCGCACTGGCCTGAATGTAGAAGAACTTATAATTTCATCTTTAAGATCGTCGGTTGATACGATAATCCTGAGCTTGATTTCACAAATGATGATGTATATGTTTAAATTTCTATAATCGAATTCCGGTCCACTTTCCAATGTTTCCGTCGAATGTGTTCTATCGAAATAGACTTATTATCGGGTTGTACGTACATAAGCAACACAACAGGATCTGCTTGACACTTTGGGGCAAGAATTATCAGGGGTTTGTTCTATTAAGAACAACGCTTTCACAACGGTTACCACATCTGGAGCAGGATTCTCTTATCTTTCCGGAGTACCAGTGATCAACCCCTCTCCATTTAAGTGTGGTGTCTTTGTTGCTCGGTCATTAATTTTCTTTTTTATGTTTTGTTTTTAATGTACTGTGGTTTGTCTTTTGGTCGTTTTATGGTTTCTGTAATATGAACAAAAATATAGTATTTTTCCTTTATTAAGTGACTGGTCTGCAAGTTGCAAGTTTAGAAGTTCCAAGGGACACAACTGGAGAGGTTTACTTTAGGATAACATGGACTATACCTAATACTGTTGCCTTTATCAACAAATATCAAATTAAAATAACTGTAAATGGTGGAATTGCAGAAAATCTTATTAATATTGTTAAGACAAAGAATCAGTATAATATGACCAACAGACAGCCAGGTCATACTTATGCAGTCGAGATCATATCGGTGGAGACTGCTAGCCGACCTGGAGCACAGACTACTAGTGTTAACTTACAAGCTGGTACAAGTAAGAACAAATCAATTTTTAAAACAGATTGATACAGCAATCAATTACAGCTAGAATATTTTGTACTGTATACTCAAATGGCACTTCCAAGTCGTTGAATATATTTTCATTATATCTGGTTACTTAATAATTCAAAACATTTGGTAATCTCATCTTTTTTCTAAGCACTAATTATTGGTTAAGCGAAATAAACGTCTATTTTTATGCTACTTTTCATGAAGTATCATATTAAATAGATTGACATAATGTAAGATATTGAAGAAAGTCCGTTCAAAAATGTAAGTATCACTGAATGACATACTATGAATTCAGAAATTAATGCGTGCATTTATTAATGCGATTTTTTTTTAAAACAGACATTAATTACTATTCCAGGAAGATCTACATACAGATATATTCATCTAATATCAGAATGCGAGTTTGTATGAATGCAAATCGCACTGAGTTGCTTTATTCACATTAATTAGTAGAAAATGGCTTTAAAATAAGTTTTCACGCTCAGGTCTTTATTTAAACAAGGTAATTACGGGAATTTGGAAGTTGACATGATTAAATAACATGTTTGAAAGTAATCAATGACAAGACAATTAGAGGATTACTAGGAACCATATCTCAAACAGGAGTGTTTTTATGTTTTTATATAAATGTAAAACGAATGGTTCCTTATCAAATACAATCTTATATTTTATTTAAACTGCTAGTGCATAAGATGTTGTTTCAGGAGGCTCCTTACTATTGAGGTGACTATATTAGAATCAATTAATTAACGCTTTTAACATGCCTAATTTACTTTTGTAGGACCTGCAGTACCAAGTGCAATTACAACTATTGACATTTTGGGACCATTAATAACTGTTTCCTGGACTGTTGGGGGTATCATACAGCATCTCAGTGGTACTATTAATGGTACATCGGTGACACCTAAAGCATTTAACATTACACATATTCCCCCATTACAAACTCCACAACAGCAGTTTAATACAGTGAAGAATGGTGAGAGATATGTTATAACAGTGAAAGCTTATAGTAATGGATTTACCAGTGCAGAATTCACCGCAACCATCAGGACAACATCCACACGTATGTTATTTAATGTTTTTCATGTTTATAGAGATGTTCTTTTTACAAAATATTCCCTTCACAATACAACAAAATGAGATTTCAAACTTTTATTAGACGTTATTGATAGCGAGAAAACATGTTATGTAATTATACTGCCACTCTAGAAGTGGGATATATTGCAATCACCTTGTTTGTAATCCATTCGTCCAACAAATATTTTCATCACTTTTCTCCAAAACCACTGAAGAGAATGACTCTATATTTAGCAGAAAACTTAACAGTAATGAATTATAACATGTAAGCATTTTTCTGATCTATCTGTTCTCCGATACTTCGAATTTAAATAAATATTTAGAAATGTTTTACTTCTCATTACAACTTAATAGGATGACATCATATTTGTTCAGTAGTTGAACAGTAATGGGGTATAACGGCGTATAACGGCGTTCATATTGCCGATATAGGGACCTATTGTCCATTTGCCGGTACTTTGAAGTTTTCATTATGTTGAATGAATGCAACAGAAAAGAATGTTTGTTTTTCCAAATTGTTAGGCAACTGATTCCTGTTTTCCTGGTACTTTAAATAAAGTGGTGGAATATTTTACTTGACAAGAGATGCATTCTTGTTGAGTTTTAAAAATAAACTAAACATGTTAAAAGAATTTTTAAAAACTTTGATCAAACTCCTTCATATATACAAAGATTTGGTTAAAAAATTTGACTGCATCTGCAGAAGAGAGGCGTTAGATACCAGAAAGACATTCAAACTCATCAGCAAAAAAAAACTGAATGAAAAATAACAACAGGCAAACAATAGTACACAAAACATAACATAGAACACTTAAGACTGAGCAACACAAAACCCACTAAAACTGGGGGTGATCTTAGGTGCTCCGGAAGGGTAAGTAGATTTCCTCCACATGAAGCAAAATTATTATAAAAATAGAATATTACATCATCACTGTACGGTGATGTTGTTTATAAATCTTTTGAATAAACTTAATATTTAAGGTTGTTAATTTAACACACTAGAATTCTTTTTTTAAAATATTGTTTTGTCGGTACTAACATTGCTTTTGTTTAACACAAATTAAAACATAACTACAAATAGCGGACCAATCACAATTAACTTTAGGCTATATCGTCAATGAGCATGGCACACGTTACCGTTATTTGTACAGTTATATAACATATACTGTTCATTCATTACCATTTTGTATGTTCATCTGGAAATAAACTTTTGTTTTACATTCCCATGAAGATCTCAACATTTTATAAATGAGCCAGTCCATGCGAAAAGGTACAAAACAAAGTGTGCATAATTATTGGTAGCAGACTTGAGATCAATAATACACAGTTACTTTTCCTATTATCCTAAAGCTGTAAGCTGTAAGCTATACACACCTTCATGTGCTGACCCCCTTGTTTTAGAAAGATTTTGCTGAATTATTTTATATATTTCAATCATTTTCAATGTACATTTTAATTTCTTAACTTGCCATTTGTGGGGATAAGGCTCTCGCTTACAATGCAGATATCAATGCAATCACAGCGAGCATCGGTTCGAATTAGATAACTTAACTTAAATTTCAATTTTAAAAACACAAGATGACATTTTTTTTTTGTATTTTCCCTCACGTTTAAATGTTGTCTTCCTTTCTTCAAATATAGGTAGAACTGATGAAAATTATTGACCTTTTGTCTCTATAGTGTCGTACATGGAAAAGTTTCCTGTCAATATAGCATTGTTCCAGGGAACAAATGATTTTACACTTGCTCAAATACAAAACAAAATCAGATATTTCCGTTTTAAACGACACATTTTATGAATGTTTACATTAATGTAAATTATTGGGATAAAATCGTTTTTCAAAAATATTTTATCAAACGTTAACAACACAACGTGTCCTGTAAAGTTTATCAAAAGGACTTTTTATACCTTTTGGCATTGACTGGCTCACATGTTATATGAATCTTATAAATTCTTTGTTTAAATGGAAAGCAAGTTTATATCATTAATGCAAAGGCTGTGCATTTAGAATTGCACATTGGAATAAATATTTATTTCAGAACCAAATCCTCCAGTTATTGACACTTGTGATAACCTGGATCTATATGAAAACCGAATGGATTTAAGATGGAAAGAACCACAAGTACCAAATGGTGATATTTCACATTATATCATCTACATGAGTTCTACAGAAGTTAGAAACATCCATACAGATTCAAGTACAGAGGTTCAAAGAATTGAAAATTTATTGCCACGTTAGTTATTTGTAAAATATATAGTTAAAGTATGCAACTCCATTTAGAAATAATCCTTGATTTATATTATGTAATAGTTTTTTTCTGTTCTGAATATACATAAAATACTTGTAATTTCAAAACGAATGAGATAACATCAGAGTAACAAAATGTCTCATGCTGCTGCATTAAGATCCCAGTACGTGAATTTGATACAATATGCTTATGTTATTTTCAGTCCTTATTCTTTATCAGAATTTGTGATATCAAATTGAGGATATATTATTGTCAACTATAAATGATGGCAAACAATCCTGCCATGTACGCTGAGAGGGTTCTTATAAAATATTTAGTGTATTTTTGGAGAAAATTTATAAAAATCTATCGTATCGTATATCGGGTTTTTGTTTTCTTGTCGGCATTCTCTCCATTCGTTAGGTCATGATATTGTGTTTCATTCGACCACATATAATATAGATTACACTGAAGTATTAATTTGTTTTTTCTTTGAAACTAATTTACTATATATTTTTTTCAATTTAAACTTAATTTTGGAAATATTTTTTTTATAATTTCAGAACGACAGTACTGTTTTCAGATGGAGACTGTCAATGATGCTGTTTCACCTCAAAGTAATAAAAGTCCAAGATCTTCACAGGTTTGCTGTTCCACAAGGGCTGGGGGTAACATAAAGCTCATTACAGAAAATGTACTGCTAAATGACAATTAGTAGTATCTGAAAAGATAAAAGCTACTTTAAAAGTGTAAACGTTGCTGACATGTTGTAAAAAGTTGTTCTAAAATAATGTTTGATATTTTGATAGATGTGGATAATATTTTGTTACTTTATAATCATAAACAATAATTTTTTATCTCTCTTTTCATCGCAGTTTTTTTCCGCACCTACAATAAAAGAGGGTATGTGTTTGTTGAACTGTGTTTAAGTCCGTATAATAGAGATTTATAACAGCTGACGGACTCCGACCCGAGTCCGACTACGAGTCATAGTAAGACAGTTTAGATGACGGGGGCTATCTCAAAACAATACAAAATATTGTAAACATTGTGCTTTTATAATTTAATACTAATTAAAAAGTTGTTATCGGCAATTTACAAACACCAACACACTTCAACAATGGCTTTTAGTTTGTTACGAAGATGTCTCCAAAACGTTCCCATGACCCTATAGCATTTCAACTCGCCAACAACGTGGTAGTCTGTTATAAGTCTGTTCAAAAGCCTAGGTGTGAATTTAGAGTCATCTGAAAGTGATGAAAGATCTGCGTACGGACTTCAACAATAAGCAAAAACCATACCGCATAGTAATCTTTAAAGGATCAAATGTAAACGTTTTTCCTTTAAATGCACAGTTCAAGAAATAAAATCTAAAAAAAATGATATTGCTATAAATAATCAAATAAAGTTTTTTTTTTATCTGAAGCCACACCAACCACCATTTCCCATCAATTTCTATCCCAAACACTTCTCGGTCCTGTCGTTTTCATTCTTTCTTCTTTTTCTATTTCAAATTGATCTACTTACCGGGTGAAGTTAGTCGTCATTTTTTGTCAGTCACCGTTGGTATCATTTGTTCTCAATTTTATGTTTTCTTTTTAAAATTGTTTGAAGAAAGGCTAACATAGAACACTCTATCAAATGCTATTTCGAAAACAACCTGTCAAACTCGGACTCGGAGTCGGGTAGTTGTTGTAAATCTCTTATAGTGCTTTCTTTAGTATGTCCGCTCTGTATCACGTTAAAGATTTGGGTTAAGTTAGTTTGTGCTCTCATACATTTGAAACTTAGTTCACATGTTCATTATGAGATGAACTGATGAATGTATATATATCAAAATTGGACTCAGGACAAACTTTCATGGTATACACTAAGCATTGAATTATGATTCATTAAAATGTTGGTATAAGTTTGGTTTAAAATAGTATCTCATATAAAAATTATTTCTAAATTGAACTGATGATCTCATATGCCTAATCAGGGTTTTGACAAAGATTTCACGGTACACTGAACATTAAATTATGTGAAAATATGTCCCTTAATTGAATTTTCTTAAATCAGTACTAAAACGTTTGCAATGTATTTATTTTTGAGACATTCAAATTATCATGATAATAAATTATATTTCAAATAAGTACAGCATTTACATGATAACATACTCATTTCTGAACCTAAAATAATGTACCTCCAACACATCCATTGTTGTAAAGACACACTTTTCAATTAAAGTTGCCAGATTGCCAAATAATGTGACTTTGGTTGAAGTTAAAAGTAGAAGCATAAAACTATCATGGATGAAACCAACTGACGTTAACGGTGTTTTACATGGATACCGTGTTAGTTTAAGAGTAGAAGGTGTATGTAAAGTGGAAGTAGTTTATCAGTGCACAGATTGTGTTGGAACAGTAAGTTTATAAATTTCTTAATAGCTTTTGATTTATCTGTTTAGATGCAAAAGACTGTAACTTATCATTCTAAATTGGCTAATATTTAAAGAAAACTGCATCCCCTGAACAATTCGATCAGCGTGAACTAAACTAGGCCACTACATAAGACAATTTGTATGATCTTCTACGTCATGTAAGATGCGAGAAGCTTAAATGGATACTGATAGATATTGCGGCATTCTCATCTTTAGCAAATACCTAAAAGTAAAACCTTATTTTATATTCTTAATTTGATAACAAGACTTATCAGTATGTTTACGTAACGCAGAGATCCGGCAACCGATTTGCCTTGTGCAAACACTGAAAGGTATTTCTCTAAAGATGGATATAAAGGTTGAATTTTGCACATTTAGACAAAGAATAGGTTGATAAATTATCTCAGCTCAAACATTTTAAGTGGGCGTTTGTTGTGAATTATAAAACCTTTTCAAACATTTTGCCTCACAACGTTTGTTAAATCAATCAGTGTTTATCAGCTGCATTGTTATAGTTTCCAGTTGTTGATATGCACCTGTATAAATTAATGACAATTATGTTTGTATTATTTTTTTCTATTCAAATGAAATAATTTTAAGAAAAACTGTCAATTTCTTTGCTAGACTTTAATTGTTATTTTAACTTTGTTAAATTCAAATTCAAATAAATAAAAAGAGAAAAAATATCATTATGCTTTTTGTGAGCTTTTTAATACAAACTACATGTATTTATTGCCATACTGATTTAATAGTATTTTCCAAAATTTCAGCCTAACATAACAAAATAACAAGCCAATACCCCTTTCTATGCCTGCTTCATTCTTCGAAAATTGGCGTAGGTGTAATATTACCAAATCATAGTACGTCAGATCCGGTTGCATACGAAAAAGGTCGAAAAAAATATTCCATTGCATTTGACAGTTGTAGGAAATTCATCCCACATTTAATTGCAATAACAAAATTCTGGGTCATGAACATATATCTTCGGTGTTGCTTAGCACCATTATTTTTTTATTTGGTGTTTCTATAGAATATTTTGAAAACTTCACATGGTTTCTAAAATTTTTACACAGGTAAAAAAGAGGTATAAATTTGATTGGTTAACTTTCAGGGATTGTTACTTTTTCATACGCAATGAAATGATATTTGAAATTTTGTCTATGGTATTGCACAGGATAAAAGTTTACTCATGCTTAGTATTTCCGTATTTGAAATTAAGATAAATTCTGCACAATTTTTTGAAAAGTGCAAATTTATCAAAGACTAATAGGGGAAAATCAATGGTGGTATAACACCTAATATTAGAAGCAGTACATCCACCTTTGACCTTGTGAGTAAACTTATTTGTTAAAATTTCATGCGATTCAAAAGGAATATTACAAAAAATAAAATATTCCGAGTGGATTGGGTCTCATAAACACATTTTGTGAGAAAATTACAATGAAATATGATGCTACCATGAATATTAGCAGACAGAGCAAGCCATACTCAGTGTTTTCGGGAGCTGTTTTGACTTTTTCTCTTTATTTCTTATATTCTGCTATTAAAGGAAACCTTTTCTTAAGTAATACTTTAAAACATATATAGTGATAAGTAAATACAATTATTGTTAAAGCAGTAACAACAAATTATTCACTAAAAGGGCAGCTTTTTATGTCCTTCTCATGAACACGGCGTAAATTTAAATTATTAAATGTTCTTTGGAGTCCGTAGACTTTTATACGAACAGTTCATTCAGCTTGAATACTTATAGTTCTCATTTATTATAACAGTTCTATAGGTGAAAGTTATCCCAAACGTTTGATTTAATGGCCTAAAAAAATATATGAAATTAGAGATATAAATGAACCAAAAGAGACGTTATTACTAAGACAAAGAAGTCCGTTAGTTGTTTTTTTTCATCCTTAAGTCAACGTGTGTATCCTATATAACTAATTGTAAGCAGATCAAATAAATATTTTATCATTTATTGATCCAAACTATATTCTATGATGCTGTTAGAATTGGATTTTTCGCAGACATTTTCTCGAATCGCTGTAGATGTCGTCTTACATATACATTACACTAGATCTTCTAAAACTATTGACCTGAATATGACAAAACGTGACACGTATGCTTGAACCAGTATCACAAAGAGAAAAAGTCAAATTCAGTTTATCTAAAAAAATTCTTCTTTATGTGTAATACCACCAAATCAAATTACGTCACATCCGGTTGCATACGAAAAAGTATTGAAAAGAAATATTCACCTGAATAGGAAATTTATCCTACATTTGATTGCAGTAAAATAATTCTGGGTCATTTGTTATTTGGTGTTTCTATAGAATATTTGGAAACTTGAGGTTACATGGTTACTTAATCTATGACACAGATAAAATAGAGGTTTAAATTTGATTGGTTAACTTCCAGTGATAGTTATTTTCTTATATGCAATGAAATGTAATTTGAATTTTTTTTTCATTACTGCACAGATAAAACTTTACTTATTCCAAGTATTCCTTTATATAAAACAAAATGATTTTTGCATTATTTTTTAAAAAGTGAAAATTTTACAAAGACTAATAGGGAAAAATCAATGGTGGTATTAAAAAAGAACTCGATATATTAGACACTCCATGACTGATTTCAAATCAATGTGATGCAAGTTTTAAATTCTGAAGAACTCCATTTTTTGGCTAATTTGATATTATTTAGAAAGTTTGGACATAATTTTTCTTTGTATAGAGACTGTAACGAGGTATTATCCATGTTATAAGCAACAGTATAAATTATTCATTGTTATATCAATATTTCCTGTGAAACATTACTCAATTGCTTTTCTCTATTTTCTGTAATATGTTTTTCAGCAAACAATTTTCCCCAAAACCTGTGTTGTCCAAAAGAAGTTGAATATCAATTCTGTAGATGCAAACTCAAAGGTTGTTACTACGATTGATGGTCTGTTCCCATATATCATTTATGATGTCTGGATTGCTGCAGTAAATGAAAATGGTGACGGAGAAAAAAATGCAACATTGTTTATGTCAGATTCTGAAGGTAAAACATTTCCATGTATAAGAACCTTGAATGATAGTTAAGTTGAAAGTGATCAATACTATTTTGATGTTGAAAAAACAATTTTCCTATGATAGTTTATACCTTGACCCCAATCAACAGATTTGCTTGCAATGAGATTGCACTTCAAACTTCAAACGGAATTCCTAACATGGTTTGTATAAATCCCTTATTATTTAGGCAGTATGATGTATGCCTTGCGCAGTGATATTAAGGCACTTTACAAGAAAAATGCGTAAAAATGCATGTTATATAGAATTGCATATCATAAGAAAATGGCAAAAAAATCAGGAAAACAGAGATCGTAGAATGAAACATAAAGACCTATATTTAATCTTGCATGGGTTTTTCGTATCGAAAGTGAAAGTAGTCACGTGACCCGAGTCGCCACTGAAGGTCGTACATTACATTTTCAACTCAAAAGTCCAGCGTGTTAAAGGAATCTTTGAATGTGAAACAAAGTATCAATACATTCGTTTGAATGTATATTTTCTCAAAAATGCTATCCAAAGATTGAACTATACTGTCTTACGGTAAAAATTAATGTAAATTCGATGAAAAATGTGATTTTTGTTAGGAAATACCAATTTTATACTATGATATTTCAATGATATAAACGCATACCAGTGTTTGGATAGCAGTTTTCTTTTAAAAGAGATATCAGTCGTTTTAAATCATGTCCAATCAAGTAAATCCATCTTCAGTAACACACTGGACTTTTGAATTTTTTAATCGTGTACCGTTTAATATTGTTTTACGTTCATTATCAACAAACGCTTTGATGACGTGATCGGCTGTACTCAATAGCGGACAAAACTCCGGAAAAATGTTACACATTGAGGCTAGAATGATTTCTCCATGTTGAAGATCTCACTGTAATTTTTAAGATGAAGGACAGCAATAAAAGCGTGTACATGTTTTGATTTTGTGTCAGGATCTTGTTCCCCATATCCCATTCTATTCATTATTGATATGTATGCATTACTTGTCTTATTAAAATTAAAAGTATTAATGCCGCGTATTTTAAACTCCGGATTTCAAGTAATGTTTTATATAGTATTAAATAATACTGGAGATATTGTTCATTTATTCATTAAATATAAATATTTGCAACGTTTATCCTTGTAAGAATAAAAAAATAATGTGTTAAAAGACCTTAAAACTACAGTATTTTCCCAGATTTGCATTTTTTTTATTATATTGTTCGTGAATTCAATTAAGGTTTACACAAGATAAATTTGTGAGAAAAAATGTAAAAAGGATTCATGAATCCCCTTTTTGAGTCTCGCCTGTGATTGCTGCCATCAGTGTGTGCGTGGGGAGGGGGGGGGGGGGCACGGTCATCAGTGTAAATTGTAATGTTGACTGCCAAAATTTTATAGACCTTCCGAGATTATCGTAATGACTATTATCAAAATACAAAATTAAGATATTGAAACGTTCTCTACAAATTCTATTTCTTGAACTTGAAGAAGCTATAAATGTCCAAGAATCACAACATTTCATGAAGCACCCTCCTTCCCACCATGTATTAAAATGTAAACTGAAAAAAAACAAAGTCCATTCATCAGTAAAATTCGATATTAAAAATAAAATTTTTAATTTTGCTAGATATTATCTCATATATATAAATAAAAGAGCTAATCTGCCCAACAAAAAGAATAATATATGAAGGTGGGAGACTATCTTTAATAATGTTAACTATAAAAAAAAATTCTTCATTCGTGAAATATAAAAAGAAATCAAAATTTAGCTGTCGCACTGTCCCAAGTTTCGTAAAATCTCTGTTTTTTTTATTGTGCAACACCTACCTGATTCTAGTCATAATTCTATATTGTCTGGATATTTGCCTGGATTTCCGTTGACCTGCATTTTAGACAGCAAAATTTTCAGCAGACACTACTCTCAAAGTCAGTGTGAAAAATTATGTTCTTTGGTAAGTGTTTGAAGTGGCAGAAGTTGGTAATGGAAAAGAGAATATAGGGAAGAATCACGCAACTGAGCTAGGCTCTCAGAATATACAAATTGTTTGTTCTATGCTGTGTTCCACTACTCTTCCAGGTTAGAGTTTGAGCACTTACAAATATATTTAACCCTTTACCAGACTTGGGCCTTTTATAGCCGATACTACAGTATTGGTTTTCTCATTTTTGAGGGCTTTACAGTGGCTAAGTATATTTGCTTACATGTACATCTATTTCATTTAAACTCTAGTGGGTAGTTGTGTCAATGGCAATGATAAGACATCTCATTCTTTGCAGTATATGGAGGACAAACATAATCTGTTTTGTTACTCAGCTCACACAGGATAGATATGAGGCATGCGAGAATTCAAATTATACCTGTGTTAATGTCTTGTACAAATATCTTTTTATTTTATTTTGAGACCATATATATATATATATATATTTAATCATATATATATATATATTTAATCTACAATGTATATTTAGGAATTATGCACCTTGATCAACTTAACAATCTCACCATTGTCCTTATAATAGATTTTTAGAGATTCTTTCAGTGGCAATCATATCACTTTATTATTTTCATGCCCAGCCAATGTCAATAAAAAAGAACAAAGTGGATAAACTATAAGCAGGAATAATTGGTATGGGATTTGCTCATTGTTGAAGGACGTACAGTGACCTTCAGATGTTTTTGAAGTTCTGTGTCCTTTTGTCTTTTGTGGAGAGTTGTCTCATTGGCAATGATACCATATTTTCTTATTTTTATAAGGAATGCAGATTATTATATGTGACATGTCTAGTCATCATATTGTTCATACAAGGAAGGCGGTTAGTAATTATTGATATGTAATTTGTTTCTTGTATTTACCTTTTTGATACAACATATACATAAAATACCATTTTACTCCATAAAGAAAAGAAAATACATAGATTTCTATTTCAAAGACCTCCACTCTTGGTATTAAATTTTCAAAAGAAAACAAACAAACAAACAAACAAACACTGTTTTTCTGAATCATTGATCATAAACAAATATTAATGCAATTTTTTATAAAAATGAAGTAAATATCATTATAACAGATAAATTGGGTCACAATAACTTATGTTATAAACTTACTATTCATTAAGTAATAAACAACTAAGAATGTCCGTTGTCATCTTAAAATTAAATTGTAGCGAATACGTCCCTTGGTTTAATATATTTTCGGAAAGCTTTAAAGTGTAGCTTCAGTTTGAAACATTTCCTAAAAATTTACATCTGTACTTCAAGCATATAGTTGTATTAGTTCTTGATCCTTTTCATTAATTTTGTCTTGAACTTTACAAATAGTGTTTTCTTCTCCAGATATGTGACTAATTCTATCTGACCAGTGACGAAGAAGTGTAACAATATGAAATTTAGGTTACACATAAATCATTGTAAATAGTAACTGGAAATGTACACTCAGGTATTAGGTAAAGCTGAAATAGAAAAAATACAAAATTACTAATCACATAAACTAAACAGAACATTATCCCAGAAGCAATACACAGAATGCAAGTATAGCAGTTTTAACAAAAAAGTAAAAATCTAGGCAACAGATCAATAATGTGTCAATAGAGCATCAAAATATAACCCAAACTGTTCATGTTATGCCCCATTCAAAGAAGTGTATGAGGAAAGTGATTGTTCTTCCAATGTTAATCCATCCTACATAGGGTTAATGGTTTTTTCATTGAGCAAGTCCTCATTTTTAAGGCTAGAAATTTTCACATTATAAAAGGCATAAGTAAATATATTACTGTTGTGCATTTTATCAGGATTCTTTTTCTTTCTTTATATTTTCCTCAAATCACAGGAATTTGAACTTTGTCATTTGTTTCAATTTGGTGCAATTATTCATGCTAGGTACCTGTATATTTTTTTTCAAGCACACACTTGCAGTTTTTAAATTAGCACTTTACTACGTTGGAGGATGTTTGGTATTTAACAATACATATGCAGATCAATAGTTTGTATATAATAAGGATTTTGATGTTCCTTTAATTTTCCACAAAACTTGAACTAGTAATTTTCCTAATGCAGTAATGAAAAAGTCCTGTATATTCATTTGTCCTAGCTATAGCTAGTAAACAAGACAAAAAAATAACATACAGAGGCACATTTTTTAAAATGAAAGTACAAAATGTATCAGAACTATAGAACACCAGAATCAAAATTGTAAATAAGAAAAACATTCTTCATAAATTGGTTATGTGCAAAACATGAAATATTGCTTATTATGTCAAATTTTAATGTCCCATGACTCTTGAACAAATTAGTGGAAATTAATGCAAAGCCTAATTCTTTATAATTTGGTAAAATTAAAAGTTAACAAGATTTACTGACAATGATGGTTTTTCATTTTCTGTCAGTTGACAGACATATTAAAAAGAGCAGGGTGTCAGATAAAACACTCATGCACTGTACTGTAGTGATGAAACAGGCTATATCATTCTACATGAAAAGTTCTCAATTCGACCCTGAAAAGGACAAATTTTTTTAAAAGTCTTCTTCTTTTGTTGTTTCTACTTAATAACAAATAAGTATAACATCAAACTTTTGTTACAACCACTTACCCTTGATCAGTTACTGAGTCCAGATTATGGAAATGAATGCACCAGCCCATCTGACTCCTTATGTACATTTTTTGCAAGACCGCTCAATTATCAGGTTTTCAGATGAATTGTAGAGGGATAAAAATCTTCATTCATTCATATCTGTTTCCTAAATTAAAAAATGTTATAGATTATTGCAAATAACTGTAAAAAATATTGTCCTAAACCAGATTTAAGCATATCTTATAGTATTACAAGAGCCTATATGATATATAATCATGTAAATTCAGAAATTATTGTAAGCGTTTATTATTGCGACCATTGAAAACAGAAGAAAAGTGCAAGATTAATTATTGCTCTTTCAGGAAAATATGCAGTCAGGAATCTGATGTTCAGTAGTTGTCGTTTGTTGATGTGGTTCATAAGTGTTTCTCG